ATTAACTTTATCTATTGGATGGTCATTTTCAAAATTATATAAATGTTCAAACTCTATTAAACGACGGTTAATTAAATTGAACGTATGCAATAACGTGATAAATATCACTTTCTTTTCTACTTTTATCGACCAACAGATTCGCAGCTATTTCAATAGCAGAAAATAGTTGAATTTGTAAGATGACAATCCAATTTCTAGAAAGGAAAAAAATAAAATAAGAATTGTATCCCTTAATTTTTAAGTTTTTAGCAAAACTATTTTATAACAAGTTCCTTTATATTAGCACGATATGTATGCTGTTTCTAACGAGTCCAACTAGCAAGCTATCTCAATGCTCATTTTGGTTATGTTAGCTAGGCTAGAGTTTTTAGGTACCCGTTTGGCAAAGGGTTAAGTGAGGGGTTAAGGAGACTTAACCGCTTCTTAACCCCTTACTTAACCCGCCAAACACAAAAGATCTATACAAGCGCTAAAATGAGTTAACCCTCCATAACTTGCCAAACATAAAAAGGCCTAAACTAACCCTTCTAGAGGGATTAAAATAAGTTAACCCCTCAAAATGAGGGGTTTACTAATACTCCTAGTTAGAAGGATTAAAATTTAATCATTCTAATTATAAAGAAAATAGTCAAAATCATTGTTATTCCCAACCACTAAAACTGATCACAATGGCTAAAATAGAACTTATTTAACAGATTAATAATTTAGTTATTCATATTATCGAATGAGCTAAGTACATTAATCATTCTTTTAGAAGAACATGTTACTCCTTAGAGGATGTATTTTTTCTTGGTGCCCATGCACATCAATCTATTGAGAAAATGGGCATCATCACTCCATTTCTTCCACAGATTGCTAACTTTTCACATGGGTTGAGGAGTACATGAGGATATGTAACCATTTGAATGAATGAAGGAGATTATGCCACCTCACTACGAAGCACAACTTTTTATGCTTGGTACCAAGCATACCCATTTTTCTCTCTCTCTTGGTAGTGAGGTGGCGTAATCTCATCCACTCATTCAAATAGGGGGACCACATTCACATGGGTTGAGGAGTGCATGGGGATATGCAACCATTTGAATGAGTAGAGGAGATTATGTCACATCACTACCAAGCATAACTTTTTGTGCTTGGTACCAAGCATCTCTCTCTCTCTCTCTCTCTCTCTCTCTCTCTCTCTCTCTCTCTCTCTCTCTCTATATATATATATATATATATATATATATATAGAGAGAGAGAGAGAGAGAGAGAGAGAGAGAGAGAGATTAATGGGTATCCTTGTCATAGGAGGGGATTTCCTCCTATGACGCCTCTAAAATCACATGATTGAGCGACATTGTGGATGATCCGCTCCGTTGAACTTGATCTACATATTCTAAAACCCCAACACACCAAGTTTGGGGTGAACCCGTCGTCGTTTGACCCTTCATCCACTCGTATCAATTTTAACGGTTTTGAATGAATAGAACTTTTTACATGGCTCGATGGAGGGTCAAACGACGACGGATTCACCCCAAACTTGGTGTGTTAGGGTTTTAGAATATGTAGATCAAGTTCAACGGAGCGGATCATCCACAATGTCGCTCAATCATGTGATTTTAGAGGCATCAAGGAGGAAATCTTCTCCTACGACAAGGATACCCATTAATCTCTCTCTCTCTCTCTCTATATATATATATATATATATATATATTCTTGCAGGTTGCTAGCTAAAACGTTACTCATCAGAAGTAGACGTCACTGGCTAAAAGTTATTCAAGTAGTCATGCCAAAGCTCCGGTTATCCTGCAAACTTTTGGCCAACATTTTAGCAAACTTCACGTACCCATTTTATGCGCTATAATCCACCTGATCCAGCTGCTTGAGGTCATGGGCTAGTTCATGACCGACGACATCAAGTACAAGAGTGATCCGTTCTCTGAATCAAAATAATCGGTAATTAGTATGTATTGTGTTTTGAATTAGGATTACTCCTCTTACTTGGAGTAGCACAAAATGAAAAAAAAAAGAAAAAGAAAATTAAATTATACGTACGGTACAAATCCCAGATTCCTGATGCTAAATTAAAGAGGCGTATGATACTCTATTTGGGCGTCAAGAATCAACGGATCCCACCTTGCCACCAAGGGCTTTTAAGCCCGTGCCTTGACTCGATGGTAAAATTAATTGAAGACTTAAGATTATAAAGATACCCTGTTCTAATTTTTTTTAATATTTAATAATTCACAATTATAGGCTAACCCTTTTTTTATATTTAATAATTCACAATTATGTAGATTTGGCGAAGGAATTGGTTTGGAACAAGTTTTGGAAGCAGGAATTGGTTTTTGGCGGTGTGCAGTCGACCGCGGTGCAAGATCGGTCAACCGAATACGTGCACAGACCCTGGGTATGATTCAGGGCTTGGTGTGGTAGACCGCCGCGGCCGAACGCCAAACCCTGTAATCAAATCCGAGAGTCTGGAGTTAGGTGCGGTCGACTGTCGCGGTCGACCGCCAACCCTGTATTGATTTTCTGGGTTCTGTCGTTTGTCACGATCGACCGCCGTGGTCGACCGCCTACCGGGTCAGGCCCAGTTTTGGGTTCTTGTTCTGATTTTTTTTTTGAGTTTGATATAAATACCAAACGCGTTTTAGGGTTTCTTGGAATGGAAAAGGGGATATTTTGGAGCACAGAAAAGATGTATTTTCCGGAGCTATTGGTTAGGGTTTTGTTTGAGAGATTAAGAGCTTTGCTGGTGAGATTAATTAGTGAGATTAATTGGTTATTTTGTATTGTTTGGCTTTCTCTCTCAGCGTTTGTGTTTGGTTTCTCGAACCACAACGATTGGTGGCTTCCGGGCACAACAAATTATAGGCTAATTATCTCTTCTTACCTTGCACTCCACAACTGTAAAGACGTACTATATTAAAAAGTCCACTAATATATATTAACAAGCAACAACAATAACTAACATGTGTACACTTCTCATGTTCCCTTAACCCAAGTCAAAAGCCTAGCTAGTGAACATCACCCTAGCCTTTTCAATGTTGAATATCAACCCCAGTAATTAAACTACTAGCAGTCCACTAATATATATTAACAAGCAACAACAATAACTAACATGTGTACACTTCTCATGTTCCCTTAACCCAAGTCAAAAGCCTAGCTAGTGAACATCACCCTAGCCTTTTCAATGTTGAATATCAACCCCAGTAATTAAACTACTAGC